GTACTGATTTAATTTCTTCTTGGTTTCAATTTTGCACCGTTTCGCATATGATTTAATATCATCATTCTAGACACGGTGTTACGTATTGCTCTGACGTATCTTTCGCAGCAGGTGTTAGATTTGAAATTATTTTAACCTGTATGATGGACTTAATATCACACACAGTCAATAATTTTGAAATAAAAGAAGATTGTGGGCCTTCATGCCTTGAAAAACAGTTACAAATTCAAAAGTACTAATAAGACCTGGATCATTTTTAATTTTTCACGCATTTCCTCGTAATTAATGAAATTTCTATTTGGCGCCCTTTTCGATTTATCTATTATCTAGTTTTCTTCTCGATACTTTTTCGTAATGTGCTAAGTAATGCACTTCTATTAATAATTTTTGCAAATTCGCCATAGCCACTGTTATTTTAAGAATTTCTGATAACTATTTATCTGTCCTTTGTGGTTGCTTAACATAGTTTACTACTATTTTATGTTCTTTCGAAATTTTACGTTGCACAACGTTTTCCAGCAATATGAGCATAGCTCCTTTTATACTTTTGAATTTTCATTTGTTTTACAAAGTTTTTCTCAAGAAATATTTATACACTGCGTATCAAGAGTTTAGACGCACTGTATTTTTAAAAAAAAACACACCTCCTGACGATACTTTGACTGATTATTTGTCATCTGTGTAGAATACCTTGAAAAATTATAATTACCATTAAAAACATTCATATTCAGCGACAAGAAGATATGTTTTTACCCTAAAGATGAAGAACGGTTGTATTAAAAGTTTAGACGCACTTGCCTTTTTTGTTGTTTATAACTTCATGTTGTAAACCAGTACCTATATTTATTATAAGAATAAACACAGTTAAGTACGAAGTAAGTCAGCACGAACATAATTATAAAATTGGTTGCTAGGAATCGAAATCGAAAGGAAAAAATAAATAAAATATGGTTAACTGGCAAGAAGATTATTTGTTCCTTATTAGTGACTTTTATTCTTAGATTATTATTATTAGTACTTTACTTTAGTTTTATTAGTTTATTGATTTATCATATTCGTTTATTGGATTAAAATTATTAGTTTTTTAATTTAGTTATTTACGAGTTTTATTGGCACTACTGTACATTAGTGGTTAGTACTGTTGCAATGGACACGTCACTTAAGTTGATGGATTTTGTAAAAGGCCAAATAGTGGCACTTTTCTCGATAGGAAAGAGTAAAAGAAATAGGCAGACTTTTAAAAACTTACCCAAAATTTTTTGGCGAATCCAAAAGCATATGGCAAGACAGAAATGTGGACTCACGAATGGGGTAATGTAATATAACAAATTATATTCTTCACCTTAGTACAAACTGTTTAAACATACATATGCTTCAGGTTTGGAGTAATGAAAAGAAATTTATTCTCAATGGACCAAATGGATTCAGTTCATATTGGAGGGATTTAAGTAAGTAACTGATGTATTTTTCCAAACGAAAAAGGGGCGGTTCATATGTGATAGGGCTGACTTTAGTGCGTTCGGTACCACAGAAATTGTTATTTGTGGCATCAAAAATGAATAACATGGCATATCAGACAATACTTAGGAACAATTTGCTATAGTGTATTTGCCGCCTTCCAAGGTTAAATTTACATTGTAATAAGATGATGCTATCGCACATGCAAGTAGGAGTACAAAAGTGTGGATTGAAGATTAGAATTTTGAAGTTATGAACTGGTCATCTCGTTTTCCAGATCTAAATTCAATAGAGAATTTATGGGAAATTCTTGTTCGAGATATCTATACTGACTGTTGTCAGTACAATATAGTTGCAAAACTGAAAAATGGCATTATGACAGTATGGGTGAGAATTAAGCCCGAAACCATGCAAAATTTAAGTGTGAATATGTCTGTTTCGGACGCTGATTGAATTGGAACTGGACTTGTTGCACTTGGACGCAAATGATGAAACACGATTTGAACGTTCACAAAACTTAAATTTTATTATACATCATAAAAGACAAAAATAAAAACTGACGATAACATCGGACAATGATTTTGGCAATACAATAAATTGGACGCGGATTATTAAAAGAAACGTTTCGGTAAGATTAGCGGTTTCGGCAAGGGGGGAATGGGTACGGAGGGTCGAAACACAAGAAATTTCGAAAGAATAAACGGTTATATCTTACATTCTAAACAATGTCAAACAGAATTTTCCCAACTATATTCTGGTGGATGTTCAGAATATTATGCATATTTGCTTCTTTTTTGTTATAATTATAAATTTGTATAAAATGCGTCTAAACTTTTGATATGGCCGTTTTTCATCTTTAAGCTGAAAACATATCCCTTTGTCGCTGCATATGAATGTTTTTGATGGTAATCATAATTTTTCAAGGTATTTTACACACATCAAAAAAAAGTCAGTCAAAGATTCATTAGGAGTTATGTTTTTTTTAAAAAATACAGTGCGTCTAAACTTTCGACACACGGTGTATATACGAGTTTATGTAGCCGTTCAAAATTTATTGTACGTAATATCTATGAATAGATATGATTATAATGAAAATTTGTAATTTGTATACTCATTCTAAATCAACAGAACTGACCTTCTATTAAAAGAGGTTCAATAACAATTAATATTGTTAAGCTTTAAATAGTTTTTAATTTTACAGAAACATAGCTTTAAAAAAAAGTAGTAATAAAGAAAAATGAAATAAAAAATAACAGGAATAGCCAAGAAAATCATAATGTACTTATTTATACACATGTATACATGTTTTTTTCGTGTGTTTTCTTTTTCTCGAATTCTGAACACCTTGCACCCACTGCACTTCTCCTATGGCCAACCTTATAAATCATATTCGCTATCGCTTGCTAGGGGGGTTCAGCGCCCCCAGACTCCCAGTAAGCTACATTTCGGCACTTTTGACAGTCTTTCTGGAGGTTTTGGTCCATTTTAAGAAACTTTGACTCTTTCACAAAAAGTTATATCTAGCACCGTTTGGTCGGTACATTTGTATATGTGAATGGATAGAGTTTTATAGTATTTTTATGTAGATATCTAGAAGTTAGTTCTAAAGTAAAGCGATTTCTTTTGCAAGTTGGACAAATGAAGTTCATTTCCATAGTTTTGCAAATTTTATGATCGCACATATGTATAGCAGACGCTACCACTCTTCAACTGCTTCTTTTTTAACAACATTCACAGAATTTTGTTTTTAAACAAAGCAGTGTTTACAAATATCTCTGAAACTAGTATTGTGGAAACCTGTAGTAAGGAACGTTGAGCATGTTTTAAATAAAAAAAGAAATAACTACTTTTGTGGTGAATATGCGTAAAAAGGTCGCACCTTTGTAGGAACCTAACATTAATCGCTGTTGATAATGCAAGTTTTATTGCCAAAGTTAGTTTTCTAAATATTAACGTCCTATTTTAATGGAATTCCATAATACATAATTTCCGAACCATTTTTTTATCGATATTCATTCATATTTCAAGGCTGAAAGTAACTCACGAAGTTGAGGGCAGAAACCATATTTTTCTGGCTATTTCGGAAACTTGTTGTAATATCAAGAAAATGTATGTGACAAATTTTTTCTCAATAACAAATTTGATTTTATAAATTGCTTTATAAAATATGTATTTATTTAAAAGTTATGATAGAAGTTATAATTTCAATGGGGAGATTTTATGGACGAAACATGACGTTATTTATGTTAATAATTTTACAAATTATTCTTATACCTAATGCAATATAGGTATTGTATAATATGATGTAATGCAAATATACGTTGTTGGGTTCTGGTATACAACACTTTATTAAGAAGACAAAACGTACAACTCGAATGCGGTTCGCTGAGTACCAAACTATTTCTAATTCTAATTTATTCTAAAACTTGTGGGTTTTTAAATACTAGCTTGAGGATAGGTAGTGGTAGGGATGGTGGTCAAGGGACAGCGTGACTCAGGATGGTTGCGAGGTCTAGGATGAGTAAGGCTTGGGAATCGTGATTAGTATGTTTGTATAGGGATGAGTCTGTGGAGTGATTTATATGGGAATGAGTCGGTACTGTTTGTGGAATGATTCTTATAGTTGGTCATACAACAACGTATACAGTATTTCCTCGAAACAAGCAAAAGCTTCGAGCTTCGAAATTAGCAAATTTCTATCCCCATTTCTTTGATGGAATTCGGCCGCCAAGTGAAAGACCCAAACCTTTTAATTTTTTCGGTTGACCGATCAGTTTAGTGAAAAAAACAGAGCATATATAATCTCACTCTAACAAATAGCGATTCAAAAAATAAAAACAAGCCAAATAGCATACCATCTTCGAAATAAGCAACTGGTTGGACCCGAGCGTGTATCTTCTTTCGAGGCAATACTGTATTCGGATTTATATTGTCCAAATATTAGTGTAAAATGACTTTCACTGCGTAACGACTAGTAGGATACAGGTTATATCGTACTCGAATCAGAAAGAGCCCAAGCTTAGTCAGGCGACAGTTAGTGAAATTTATCTATATACTTTTGTTTAGGCCCACTATTAACACGTTCCGTGCCAAGCCATTTTTGCCTGACTTGTCGTTTAGGCCATTTGATATTTTGACTAAAGATCGATATATTATCATACAATATTTCATTATATCATCAATACATAAGTAGTTCTCTTGTTTAGAGCAGTTATCACATCGTGTACCACCGGTGGTACACGTGGCGCTGCGATCAGTTCGAGTGCAAAAGTCAGTCAGTTCGAAACTTTTCGGTTAGTAAAAAATCTGCTGCACTCGAATTTGTTGAATAAAAAACAAGAGAAATAAAATAAATTATTTAATAAAAGAAGGAGTAGGTAAATATACGGAGATAACATTTTTTGTTTTTCATTTATTTCTGTTGGAAAACAAGTTTGTTAGAGTTTCATACAGATGAGGTTTACGACATGACGAGAGAATAGTCACTTTTGAACCCCATAATTTAGTATCCGTACCATCTGCGTGCCAGTCGACCAATCGACATGTTAATAGGTTCAGGGTTATTTTGGCATTTGTTGTGTGTTAGCCAGCACAAAGCGCAAAGTAACTTATTATGGCAGAAAACACAATTAGGTTGGGTTTTAGGAGGCCAAATTGCCTGGCCCATTCAAAAGAAGTTACCAATTCAAAAATGTTACCTCGTTACGAATCAAGAGCTCTCAAATCAATTAGAACAGTTTTGGTCAATTGAACATTTAGGTTCAAATAAAGACATTGAGCTGGATGAGTGTAAGATACACTTCCAGGCAACTACACATAAAGATATTACAGGTAGAAATATAGTCCAGATTCCATTTAATGAACAATTAGGAAAATTAGGAACATCGCGACAATAAGCGGAAAAACGGTTTAGATCCTTAGAAGCAAAATTAGTAAAACAACCCGATTTGCGCGATCAGAATGTGCAGTTCATGAGGGAATATGAGAATTTAGGACATATGTCCCGGGTTTCCGTCCCAGATTTAGATCGGTGCGGGCATTCATTTTATCTCCCACACCACGCCGTTACCAAGATTGAGAGTACAACAACGAAGCTTCGTGTTGTATTTGATGGTTCGGCAAAATCAAGTACGGGCATCTCGCTGAACGACACTCAAAAGGTCGGCCCAACAGTACAGAGCGAATTAGTTGAAATTCTTATTAGATTTAGAACACATCAGTTTGTATTGTCTGTAGATATAGAGAAGATGTATCGGCAGATTTTGATAGAGCCAGCTCAGCGATGTTTTCAAAGAATTTTGTGGCGTCCTGATAACACTTCCCCAATAGAAACTTTTCAATTGAATACTATAACATACGGTACAGCCTCCGCCCCATTTTTAGCCACCCGCACATTAAAGCAGATCGGTTTAGAATGCGCACAAGAATTTCCAGTTGTTAGTAGAATAATTATCAACGATTTCTACGTTGATGATTTGTTAACGGGGCTGGATACAGTAGATGAATTGAGATATGTAAAAGAAAGGTTATCACAAATAGTAGGACAAGCAGGTCTTAGATTAAGAAAGTGGGCGTCCAATTGCGCTACATTTACAGAACAGGGTTCTAACATAAAACATATAGAATTGAGTGCGGACAAAGTTCCAAAAACTCTTGGTCTGCACTGGTCAACGGTGGAGGATGAACTCCATTTCATGATAAAACCGTCGACTAATAATAGAGTTACAAAACGGCAAATTCTGTCAGAAATTTCTCAGATCTTCGATCCTTTGGGGTTAATCGGCCCGGTTATCACATGCGCGAAATTAGTCATGCAACAATTGTGGCAACTGCGAACAGATTGGGATGAGTCTGTATGTCAAGAGATTCATCATCAATGGGTAAAATACAGAAAAGAATTAGAATATTTAAGTCAAATTAGAATCCCTCGACGAGCACTTGTTTCTTTAGTGCAGGTAGAATTGCATGGGTTTTCTGATGCGTCGGAAAGGGCGTATGGGGCTTGCGTCTACCTGCGGTCGAGGGGAAAATCAGGTAATTGGGAGACCGGACTTTTGTGTTCGAAGTCGCGTGTAGCTCCATTAAAGACAGTTTCATTACCGCGTTTAGAGTTATGCGGTGCATTATTACTGGCACAGTTAATAAGTAAGGTAAAATCAGCACTTAGAATCCAAATATGCGATGAAAGATATTGGTGTGATTCTACGATCACACTCGCATGGATCCATAGTATTCCAGGTAGATGGAAAGTTTTCGTCGCGAATAGAGTCGCGAAGATACAGGCATTAACAGACAAGGAAAAATGGTCGCACGTGAGCTCGAGTGAAAATCCCGCGGACTTGATTTCTCGCGGAATTAGCCCGAATAAGTTAGAGTCAGCAGGTATAGTGGTCGGGTCCTTCGTGGTTACAGCGCGAAGAACAGCACTGGCCCCAGTTATCAGTCAAATTAGACAATATTCCTGATGAAAGGAAGAAATTAGTTGTAGTAGCGGTTAGTTGTTCGGACATTAGACAGTTTTTTAATCGTTACTCAGAGTTTAAGCGCTTAGTTAGGGTAACCGCGTATTGTTTGCGGTTCGTGAATAACTCGCGAAAACGTAGGAAATCGGAAGGGCAAGGCCTTGCAGTAGATGAATTGTTAGGGGCGCAGGAAACGTTAATTCGAATGGCGCAAAAAGAAATGTTTTCAACAGAGTTCAACATATTGAACAAGGGTCAAGACGTGCCGAAACAGAGCCCATTAAGATCATTAGCTCCTTTTATTGATGAGGCAGGAATTATTAGAGTAGGTGGACGTCTGAATAACGCTCCCATTGCATACAGTAATAAGCATCCAATTTTATTACCCGCGAAACACCCGTTAACAGATTTAATTATTAAAGACGAACATTATAGATTGTTACACGCGGGTTGCCAGCATGTAGTTGCGTCACTACGTGAGAGGTATTGGCCGATCAATTGCATGCAGAATGTCAAAAGAGTAGTCAGAAATTGCGTGAGATGCTTCCGGGTCAATCCGCAAGGAATACAATACCCCATGGGCCAGCTACCTGCTGTCCGAGTGACACCACCTCGACCGTTTTTGAATTGCGGCGTAAGTAGATTATGCGGGTCCATTCACGACAAAAGATCGCATTCGCAGCAAAGTAACGTTAAGATCATATATTTGCATTTTTATATGTTTCGCAACAAAGGCGATCCATATTGAATTAGCGACGGACCTCAGTACAGATGCATTTATTAATTGCCTTCGACGGTTTATAGCCCGCCGAGGCCGTTGTCATCAGATTTTTTCGGACAACGGTACTAATTTTGTAGGCGCGAAGAATAAGCTAAGCGACTTAGATAAGTTAGTTAGAAATAGTGAGCATAATTCAAAAATAGCTATGTTTTTAAGTAATGAGCAGATTCAGTGGAATTTTATTCCCCCTCAAGCCCCGCATTTTGGAGGCTTATGGGAAAGTGCGGTGAGGCGAGCGAAATATCATTTGATTAGAGTAATAGGGGATCAAAAATTGACGTACGAAGAATTGTATACGTTATTAACTCAGATAGAAGCATGTTTAAATTCCCGCCCTCTTAGTCCCATCTCATCCGATCCCCATGATTGTACACCTCTGACCCCAGGACATTTTCTGATCGGCACTGCGTTGACTGCATTGCCGGAGCCTGACTTCACAGACGTCAGAACAAATCGCCTAAATAGATACCAGTTAATCCAGCAAATGTTGCAGCATTTCTGGCAGCGCTGGCAGAAAGAATATTTACACCATCTGCAGCAACGCAACAAATGGACAGCTACAAGCAACCACCAATTGTCAAAGGGGACGTTGGTGGTAATCAAAGAAGACAATCTACCCCCCCTACGATGGTGTCTTGGCAGAATCACGGAGCTGCACCAGGGCAAGGATGGGGTTGTTCGCGTTGTGTCCGTGAAGACGGGGGACGGACTTTACAAGCGGCCCATCACCAAGATCTGTATCCTGCCGATGCAAGATCCTTCAGATTCGGAATAGAAGATAGATCATTGTACAATTTTTGTAGAGATGTAATATAATAGAATAAGATAGATTAATGTAATAGATTGTAGACACACATTACATTTTAGTTATAGTTATTGAGTTCAGGGAATAGTTTAGAGACAGAAAATGTATGTATTGTATACATTTTAGAATTAAGAGGTTGAACACACATCATGTGTTCAACGGGGGGCGGCATGTTAGAGTTTCATACAGATGAGGTTTACGACATGACGAGAGAATGGTCACTTTTGAACCCCATAATTTAGTATCCGTACCATCTGCGTGCCAGCACTACGATGGTACGTGACAATTTGTAGTTTTTAGCAGATCTGTTTATTGCTGCACTAGTCTTTAGAATTTTTGGCTTCAGTGACACAGGTCATGTCATAAATCTCTCAGCTTAGAAGGTCAGAGAGCGATCTGACCCTTAGAAGTAACGGGTCCCGCGGACCGGGACTGACGTCATAGGATTTTGGAAAAACCCGGATTCTCCCCGGAATGCCGTCCTCCCCCGTAGGAACTTCTGTTCCCCTTCCAGAAAAGTACCACGCTAAGTGCGCAATGGAAGGGAGGACAAAGATGTTAACGAAGCTAGAAGATGATAAATTAGACAGATAGCTAACAATTTAGATAACTAACAGTTCAGAGTTAAAACAGTATAGATACAGATTTCAGTTAATATAGAACACAACTAGTTTAGTACTTATAAATATTCAACACACTAGAACACACACACACATAACCTCCGTTTACACACACACACACACTCACGTTTTTATTAAAAACTATATTTTTAATACAATTCTGTGAATGTTTCTACACGGCCTCAATCCGTAAAAACATTGGGTGGTCCTTCGACTCCAATAGACTTTAGACGGCACGAAGTGCAATAATCAGGGCTCGACCAAACCCTAACAAAGTTTCTATTATTTACTTCATTATTACTATTATTTTTCTTTTATTATTTTATTTTCATTTCTTGCTATAAAAAAAATGTAAAAAAATTCGGTACTGAAGTAGCAAGACAAAAAAATATGAGAGTAATAACGTTTTGCAGCGATTGCCCGAAAAAGCCGTCTTTATGCCTCCCTTGCTTCAACAAAATGCACCATTAAATGCAATTATTAATTATTGTATATATAACAATTAAATAAACTTATGTGTTTTGTTCTATACTGCATCTTGTATAATGCTTCATTTTTTAGGTAGAAATATAGTTTACAGAATTATATTTGTAATAAAATATATGTTTTCAGCACATTGAATAAATATGACTGCGTGTACCACCGGTGGTACACGTGGCACGGAACGTGTTAAGTTTCTGAATATAGGTCCCATAGCGAGGGGTCACACCTTCGGTTAGTTTCTTTACCTGTAGCGGCAATAACACCCAAGGAATCGTTGCATTCTATCGAGTATTTTAGTTTATTGCTTTACATCTGATTGCCAGAAACCTAAATTTTAGTAATAGAGTCCGTTATTTCCAGTTTCTAATCATGTCAAGGTACTGCTTGGTTTTATTACTTGCTATGGTCATTTTTTGGAAAAGAACCCAGGCTCATCTTACGTCACACAAGCTTCCATTTCCATTCCATTTTGTATAGCCAATAGAAATTAAGAATTGTTTTCCTCACCTTTATTGCGTAAAAACTGTACGCGTATACTGCGCTTTCATGTTCGTAAGAAATACACATTCGACTCTTAACATTAGCAACAGCAGCAACTCGTATTAGTTTTATATAGTCCCCAGGTTTGGAGTGGTCCTTCGAGTGAGCAAATAGTTATAGATAGTATAATAAGAACAAATTTAGTCGGCACATCAAGTGCAATATACATCAAGGCTCGAACGAATTTATTTTCAACCACGAGCCTTAACAACTTCATATTACTTTATATAAAGAGAATTGAAATAAACAGTATTAAATTAAACCAGCATTATATATCACAGATAAAATCCTAAAAATAAATCTTACATTTCATTATAATTTTTAAATAAACAGATTCTTTTCACAACTGTTTGCACAGTCAAATTTACCGCTAAATAACCAAAACCACTTTTTTCGTATTACAAAAAGATTTCAATACATTACTAAAAGCACGTTTTTCTCCTCCAAATTTGGTGGTCGTTTTCATCCCATAAATATAAATGATTAATTATGAATGGTGAAAAGAAAATATGAATGAAGCAGTTTTTCGAAAACTAAATGTTTTATAAGTTTCATTAAAATCGGTTATTAAAACTTGGGAAATCTACGTTGTGAATATCTTAATGCAAACGTGAATTTTCACGATTTCATACATCTACCACGTAGCGATCCAGTTTTAATTAAATTTTAGTACCAAAAAGAAGTAATTCACGATCGCAGGAGGTATTTTAATTGTAGGAAATTTCTTTAGCTCATATTTGACGATGTATTGTTGAAATTTTACTGCGGTAACGCTCCGTAGTATAAGAAAGAGGAGCGAGGAGTTATTCACAAAATTTGCCTTGTGCGCTACTTGGTTTTCATTATCTTGAAATAGTTACAACATGCGTATTCATTGCGCGCTACAGACACCACGTCGAAATTTGATATGACAATAACTGAATTATATTTTAAATCTTCATCGAATAAATGGACACTCATCTCAAAATAACATAACCTATTTTCTTTGATTCGGTAATATTTCGATTTAATAAGTCTAGAATTTCGACACATGCCGATTTTGATGCGCTTTGATGCACTTTGATTTCTCAATAATTATTGTAAGTGTCACAGGAATGAGCGTGACGCGGTTCTAATCCCGTAAAGTGTTCAATCCAAATAAAATACTTAGAACTTTTGGAAACATTGAGATTTTTAAGAAACTAAGAAAATAGAATTAAATTAAATTATTTTTTAACAATATTGGCCATAAAAGCCTATCCCTTGCGACGGTGATTAGAACCGTGTCACGCTCATACCTGCGACACTTACAATAATTATTGAGAAATCAATTAATGGTATGTGAAGAGGTAAAAAATGTCAAGAAGTATTGTAAAAGATTGTAAACATAATGATATTTTTAATAAAAATGCTGATTGCTCCTCTTCACAGGAGGTGATTTTAAATTACATATGTAATAAACATTGCTGCAAACAACAAATTCCAAAAACACGTATCCTCTATTTTAGTCCATAGTTTACATACACAAAGCTGCAAAAAAATAGATCAACATTTAATACAAAAATTTAAACAAAAGTTATATATTTTCAAAATATTATTTAAACAAACAAAGTTTATTAAAAATTTTTACGCACAAAAATTTCCTATTTAAAGACTAACAATTAAAAAAGAGAAGCTTCCAATTATCTTCTTTAATTCCGGAGATATTTCCAAAAGTATGATTTCGGCCCTTAACTTTGAGGGCTATTTTCGCCCCTTCAATGTGAAGGATGGCCGATAAAAAAATATGTATCAAATATTTTTTTGCGTTCTACATCATACTCAAAGCACATAAAAATCAGCGTGTGTCGATTGGGTAATGTTCCTTGTTAGTTTAATTGAAACTCAAACGTAATCTACTTAAATGTAAATTAGGTCACGACAAATTAGATTATTTTAGACGAGATAGAATATGTATCAAAATTAATTTGAATAACTCCAAGAAGGCACTATATCTATTAATAAAATATGTAAGATAGGGATACACTTTGCCATAATTTGGGAACATGGTCTTTGTACTGAAACAAGTATGCTGGTTTGGCAGTTTAGTCAAAAAGGCAGTTATTTTCTGTATATACAATAACCTTGGCGTTAGAATGTTCATTATAAGAACAGTTTCATTGTAGTAAACATCGATGACTTCATGCTGCTGGCAGGATATTTTCACTCAATCAGCCATATTCCAAATCTGACAACTATGTGAAGGATATTAAGGTGTAATCTGAAGGTTTAGTTAATCTTGGAAAAGGTAAAATTATTTAAGCCGACAATTTTAACATGCACATGCTGTAACCGTTCGTACGTGGTTACTCGCGCCGCGAACTGATCGCACGGATTTTTTAACTCCGTGCCACGAGGTCGTAAATCTTGTAACTCGTTTGGCTACGATCCTTCGCGACGCGCTGCTCTGCCGACTTAACTTTCAAGCAGTAGTTCAAAGTGAGTCCGAACGATTGACTCAGAAAAATGGTGAAGTCCGTACGTTTGACTTATTGAAAGTTGTGTTTAGTTCGACTGCTAACTGTTTTACGAGAATGATAATTTTGTTTGAATGATAGTTGTGGTCTGCGCGACTGTTCGTTATGTTCTGTCCTTAGCTCTCAATCGTGCGAGCTAAGGAGCCCTGGCGAAAGTTTTGGAAACACGCTGATTGGTTATCATTCGATTTTTGATTTTCCAATCAACGTGTCCCTTGACTTTCTTCCACCCTTTCGTTACGCCCTTAGCGCGTTTCTTTAGGAGGGTGGGACGGTACCAGAGCGTACGTGAGAAATCCGCAAGTCCGGCAACGCCGGGGTTTTTCCTCTGGGTCTCAGGCCCGATGGCCGTAAAGTACCGTAACGAAAGTACCGTCGAAATGACCCTTCAGAATTACCGAATTTATGACAGGAATTGGCTATCGAGGACGAAACGAAACTAAAAATTTAACGCTATTGTACGAAAA